TCAAGAAGACAAGCATTATTAATAATTTCAATATAAATTCTATTACTGCTACTGGTCAATCATTGGTTCATTTAGCATGTACTAGTGGTAGTATATTATTAGTGAAGGTATTAGAGGAGTATAGTATTAATACAAGTTCATTAGATTATGAGGGTCGGTCTGCAGTACATTATGCTGCTTTATCAGGTTCACCTACTCTACTCAGTTATACTGTATCTAAGTATAACTTGAATGCCAGTCAACCAGACTACAGAGGCGTGGTACCATTAGCATTAGCTTGTATGTCAGGTAGTATCAATGCAGTAGAATATATTATGAATACTACTGACATTGATATTAATATAACAAGTAATGAGGGTAAAACACCCCTTCATTATGCATGTTGTCATGGTAACGTCGATCTTAGTCAATATCTCATTGAAGTACAAGAGAGTGACATTAACATAACAGATAATAATAAATGGAATGCATTGACTCATAGTGCTAAGGGTGGTAACATGAAGCTAGTCCAATACCTCATTAATAATCATCAATTGCCTCTCACATCATTTGCATTACTTGAAGCAGTACTTAGTACTAAACTATCATTAATTAAATTATTAGTTAATGAATATAAACTAGATCCTCAAGTTAAAAAGGGTAACGGTATACAAGCAGTTGATTTTGCAGCTAACGTTGGTGCTATTGATGTCTTAGAGTATTTAGTAAAAGATTGTGGATGTGATTTGGATAGAGTAGGTGAAGCATACAATAAGAATGTGTTTCATCATTCTACAACGAATGGTCATTTTTCATTGATTAAATATGTTATTAATAAATATCCACAATATACTAGTCTATTACATTCTACTGATGATAAAGATGCTCTACCAATTCATTATGCTTGTGCTAGTGGTGTAATGCAACTAGTGACATTTCTAATTGATGTAATGAAATGTGATGTCACTACTGAAGATAAGAATGGCTTCACTTGTGTCACATGGGCATGTTACTCTGGTAATTTTGGTCTTTTGAAATTATTAATAAAACAACACCACCTTAATCCTAGAATATTAGCCAGATCATCATCACCAGAAGCTGCATTGATGGATGGAGATGTTCATATACTAGAATGGCTCAAACAAGAGTATCGTATTGATGTAGTCTTATTTAAGAATGGTGCATTACCTTTTCATGCTGCACAAGACAACCATCTGTATTGTTTAAAGTATTTATTAAACAATTATTCATTTGATATAAATGCCACTAAACCCACTGATGATACTCAACCTACACTCCTTCACATAGCATGTCAGGAAGGACATGTTGCTATAGTTCTCTACCTCACTAGTCTTCCTCAGTGTGACGTATCAGCTAAAACTTCAAATGGATCAACAGTTCTTCATTTATCATGTAAAAGTCGTTCTCTTCCTATACTCAAACATCTAGTGGAGGAGCATCAGTTGGATCTCACTATTAAAGATTACAATGGAATGGCTCCAGTTCATGTAGCCTGTGAAGAAGGATCATTGAGTATAGTCAAGTACATTATAGACCATTCACCATTATCTCTTGATATGACCGACTCTTTTGGACGCACTCCACTACTTATTGCAGCTTTCTCTAAGAACCTTCCCATCATTCGTTACCTCAACAGTAAAAACTGCAACATTTCTATACTGGACGATAAAGGATTTAACGTAATACACATATCAGCAAAGGGAGGGTCTTTGGATATATTGAGGTTTTTCATTGATGGTGGTTACTGTAATCCTAATATCACTGATGCTTCTGGTCGTACTCCACTTTATCTGTCAG